TATGTATGTATGTATGTATGCGTATTTACACATACATATACACACGTATTCTACCTAATTACAGACTTTTTTACATACTTCTGAACATGTAAGCGCAGGCATGGCTTTCGCATTCAATGACTCAGGGACCGAATTTCGTCTCCATACAGATTGTTTCCCGAAGGCAGCAAACGGCGAGTGTTGAGAAAAACAGGACTGGGGTTTTGCTTCAGGGTGCAAGGTTTAGCGGTTGGGGTCAGGGCTTATGAGTTCAAGGCAACCTCCAGTCCCTGAAGCGTCTCGAAGCGTCATGCCAGGGGCCCGCACAGGCTTGAGCTGAAACCTGGATGCATCGGTCTTGAAAGGCTGGCGGCTAGTTTTGCTTCAGATTCTTTCCTTGGTGAAAGATGGGAATGTGGACTCAACATAGTGCTTCGTCAATCCTGCAACATCGGTATGTCAAACCGATGGGCTTCACTGCTTCCCTGTAAATGCCTGCGCCCTCTCGACGAAAGTACCGTGATTGAAATATTCTGATGCTACAGTACGATATGTACGACGCTTGATTTAACTTGCATTTTGCGACGAGAACTGCCGAGAATGATGCACCGAAGTTAGGTAGGCATTCTGATTCTGCAAACTGCAGCAACAGGGAGGCGTAATACCTTGACAAGCAGGCCGGCTTAAGCCTTAACCCGGGCACCCCCTCTCTTCCTCCCCTTCCCCTCCCGCCCCTCTGCCGCCGCTCCCCTACCCTCCACCCCGTTCGAGGCGCGGACATGACGCAAACCGCCTCGGTGGCCAGGCGTACACCCGCTGGTGGATTCGGCAACACCTTGACCTGCGAGATCAGACTTTGAGGCACTTCGGACTGTCAGTCTCCACAATTTTCTTGCAACACCACAGGGGTTGGAAAGACGAACCGCTGGAACAACTGGCATTGTATATAGAAAATAGCATTCTATCTTGCGACTTCGGACTTGGTGTGCAGCATTGGGGCTTGACGAGGTTTAGTCTTCATCACAAGGCCCCAGATGCAACACCAATGAACTAACTAAGCGTTGGGACTTCCGGAAATCCTCTACAGGAGCGTGTGCCTACCGCTGAGTACTTCGTGGCCATACAAGACGGATCAGACTCGTGAACAAAATCATGGCACCGAAACGTCGTACACAATGATGAAAGAGCACTGGCACGGCGAAGTTGGTCTTGAAGCAACAACGATATGAAAAAGACAACTTAACACTGCGAACACCATGCGCCAAAAGCCTCTTGAGTCAGGTCGACATCCCCTGGCATGCTCTACGCGGTTTGTGCGACTCATAGTTTCGACCAGGCAGCAGAGCCAAAGGACACCCGGAACACCTCGAAGCATCCAAAGAACATCAAAGAAAATGGTGCTAAGCTGCTAAGGCCAACATAACCCTGCCAAGTTTTCGAACATGGTGGCAAGCCACCAAGCCCGGAGCCGAGCACTGCTTGCCTCTGCGAAACCACCATCTAAGACCCTCAACTAGACCAGCAAAAGCTCGCGAACACAAGAATTAAAACAAACAAGCAAGCAAGCAAACATCAACCAATCACAGAAACAAAGAAACAGAACAAACAGCTTCAAGTCGATCGCCTCGCGAATGTGGTCGGCCTTGAGCTTCTTCAAGCATGCCACCTGGGTGCTGGGTTTGCCTCTTGTTGATCGGAGTTTCATTCGTGCGGGCTCTCTGGGGCTCGGGGGTTTGCTTTCAGGCCACCTGAGGTAGAAACACAACTTTTTGTTTCAGGATTAGTCTGCTCGACTTCCTGCAATACTGTGGACGTTCAGCTGCGAGTTTAATGAAGTTAAGTCTGGTGTCGGCTACCACTATGCTCTCAACTCGTTGAGCCTGAGTATCCAAAACACTCTTGATGTTGAGGCCCCCCTTGCGACTGCTTTGAGTAGAAAAAAATCAAGCTAGTGATCGTGAAACCTTTTTCATCCCCAAACACACAGCACTCCAGAAATTCAGACGTCAGGCCCCGACCGCAGTATCCAGAGCTGGCAGCGCTTCGTCCAAGTCCTTCTGGGCATCGTCCTCCATCGCTTCGTCTGACGATCGTGGTGTCGGGAAGGAAACCAGGACCAAAGGGGAAGTCGAAGCAATTGAAAATCACACCAGCAACAGCATAACCAAAGGGGAAGTCGAAACAATTGAAATTCACAACAGCAACAGCATAACTCGCAAGAAGATCATCTTAATGACTCAACGGCTTCAACAACAACGACAACAACGGCGACGCAAACGACTGCGACCACCACCACCACCAGCACCAGCA